ACTAAGAATAAACAAGCGCGCTGTCAAACAGACCGAAATATTTCATCGATTTTTCGACGCTGACGTTCTCCGGCATTTGTGCAATAGAACGCACTCGCAGGTCGGCCGCGCAATGCAGCATCGAAATCGGCGTATCGTTTTAATGGTGATCGTCCATCATTCGTAAATCCAGCCCGTATCCGTCGCGAGACAAACTCGTCACACGTGAAACTTTGTTTTCGGGGTATCAAATGGAGTTTAAGGCGATCAAAGAAAAAATGCATGCGTCCCTGACGAAATTACGCGACGCAATCGCCGCGGCTCGGTTTGCTAGGCGCGATTTGCCCGTGGACCATTAACCCCCGCTCTCTCGTACCCCCTCCCCTCCCCTCGTCAAAGCCATTTTTTTCTCGTATAATTTCTCTCGGCCGGAGCGAGCTCTGAGAGCTTTCGCGATCATGCCCCGCGGTTAGTGTGAAAAACCGGGCGAATTTCCACGACGAAAAGGGTTCCATTAATATCTATTAGCGAGCCGTGCTCGACATCAGCTGGGTTTATACATTCCCCGTCGTTCCTCTCTCTTTCTCTCTCTCCCTCTCCCTCTCATCCTACCTCTGACTTCAAATCCCTTTTTGAATCTCCTATTCGCCGGCGTAACGTCGAACGGTAAAAAGATACACGAACGAAGGGGGAACGTCGTAGGAGGTATTCTGAAATATGAGACAGACGTCATTTGTTTTCATTAATTAACGTCAACGTTGGAGTGCCAGACACCGAAACTGATACATTTTCCGCTTTATCAATATTCCGACAGCGGTATGATGCCCCGCATTCACCATCAGTTTTCGCTTTCGCGTAAATATTCCAGCGCCTATCCCGCTATGAGAAAGTCGAGAGAAATTTCGGTGCCTCGCGAGGCTTTCCGGGCTTTGTCCCTGGACTTTTGAGCATAGATCAGAAGGATTTGCAAGTTACGTTTCGGGCGAGATGTAACGACAATTCGTACCGAAAGTTTTACGGACGGCAGATCTCTTGAAATCGTCGAACCTTTTGAGCGACAAAAGACAACGTAATGACGATTTTATTTTGAAATTTTTCAGGCGTGTTATATAAAATTTTATTTCTCGCGAGGCGAACTCATTGCTATTACAAATGTTATTGGACAAACTTGTTAAAATAACTCGCGTACCCGAGTCGAAATTTCGGTACTATTTGGACACTTTTAAGGATAATTTACACCTACTTAGCTGATCTATACACCTACATAGACCGGCAATAACCTACTTTGATGACATTATATTTTTTACTCCTCCCTTCTAAAAATTTACTTTAGCTCCTACGTAAAAGGACCTACTTTAATGCTAAATTGGCAAAAGTAGAAACCTCCGACATCAGTTTTAAAGTAGGAGTAAATTTTGTACTTGCAGTTCGACCTCTTTTACTGTCCTAGGTCCTACTATATAATAGAATTAAAGGTTCAACATAGGGCCAAAATTTCGACTCGGGTATTCGGTGTTTAAAACATTTTTAGCTTGTTCAAATTTTATTCTCCTTTCTGTCTCGCGTATGTCGAGCGTTACGTAAAGACGCGATCACAAAGTATTTTCATTGGCGTGTCTTATTCACCGGTTGAGCTAAAGGGATTGTTTTCGTCGCTTTATTTCAATCCTCTTATCAAAGCGGCTGTGCTTCCAATTTCCCGGACGCTTTTATGCACTTTGAACGATGCGCTTAATTCACCGAATAAACGCCTCCGCGCTTTTTCTCCCGTACGGCCGCGCGCTCGTAATTTGCTCGAAAAAGCGGCCCTACGAATCGTCCCTGTCGAGGCCAAAAAGCAGCGGTGGCTCGCGCAGCGTATTCGAATTCAAAGGGTTCGTAATTACTTGACGCGAGCTGTAACAATCGTCGCTTAACTTTCGCCTATCTCCCCGAAACGGCCCAGTCTCGAATTTCCCTTTATACTACACGTTCGGCAATGAGATTCGCAAAGCGAATGAAAACTGGCATAATAGATAGAAAGTTGAAAAAAAAACATTTGCGCACACGACAATAAATAATGTAGGTACGCTTATATATTATGCATTGGTCGTGAAAGGTATTAACGTTTCATTTATTGCTCTTGTTCGGCACATTTTTCACAAATAATCATTTTTCATAATGCATTTGTTACCACGGTATGACATAACAGCGGAATGTATTGACACTGATGCAAATTTCCACGCACGTACGCGTAGACAACGTGAAAACTGATCTGATAATCCTCTTGCGTAACATTTGTTGCCATAAATCAAATTAACGTAGAAATTCGTCGAGAAAACGTGAAAATGTTTATTGAGCTGTAAAGTGATAATAGCGCCATATCGAGGTACATCGCAAAATACTAAAGTCGCGAATGAGCTTCCAGTCGGTCGTTCGATTGACTGAAAGAATACAATAGCTGCCCTCGATTCATCGTAACCTGTGCGTGATGCGTTCGCAATTAATTTTGCATCTCATTTTACGGTAAATCCTGCAGTAGATCGAAACGTTCGTTTCATCAGCTGAACAATTCTATCAATCGTTAGAGTGACTTGGGTTTCCAGTGGAATGACAGAGAGGGAGGGGACGAGGGTTTACACGGCGCAGAAATTATTGTAGTGCCTTTAATTGTGACTAATGCATTCTTAATTGCCTGATTTACATTTCGCACGCGTTAGCGTGCGACTTCTTTTCTTTGTTAACTAAAATTAATTTGGGATTAGCATACCAGGACTCAGCGCAACGCTCACGTACCTACTTAATAACAGCTGCAGAGGCAAAAATACGCGTAAGATTACTATTGTAACATATGATACTCGCGTGTAGTAGTACATGACTTAATTATGCAGGGCATTATGCGTCTGGCCTATATCTTATAGTAGCGTTTCTTGTATCAAGATCTCATGAAATGCCCTCATTGTTCATCGCACATGTGTAAAGCTAAATTATTTTTGTAATGCTCAGAAATGTGGGAAATAATTAATTGTAATATTTGCACTCAGGTCCATACACGGAGAGAATTTTCTCTGAAAATTTATCCCGAAGATCATGTAGGACAACATGGCATTTCGGAGAATTTTATGAGAGTCTTTTGGAATTTTATCATACATTTTACTAGTAAAATGTGTACTAATATTGTAAATATAATTAGTAGTAAAATGTATGGTAAAATTTCAAAAAACTCTTATAAAGTTCTAAATGCTACGTTGTCCCACAGTTACACGATTTTCAGAATAAATTTTAAGAGAAAATTCTTTCCGTGTAGTATTCCAAAAATAGGAACAATACATTTTCACTTCGTTATTAAAGGAATAACTAACATATCTGCTTTTTAAATGAAAATTTTCCTGAAATAATAAACTGTAGTCACAATGTATATTAATGTATTTCCTCGGCGTCTCGAGAGGATTAGATATCTCGGAAATGCAGCCAATGTTTTCATTAAGATGCCATAACTTGTACTATCAAAATCTTTGATGCCGCAGGCGAATGCTGCATTTCCGGATTTCTTCGCGCGGATCTTCTCGACGCGATGCTTTCGCGGTTCCCAATTCTGCGAGTTTGCCTATCATCCGGTTGCATCTCTTAAACTTATTTAAGTTCCGCCCATATTTTATCCCGGAGCGGACGATACTTCGAAGAATACGACGAACCACTCTCGCGGTGAAATCTTACCGGCTACAACGACCGCTATCGTATGGCCCATCCACGCCGAAAACCCACGTAATCTTCGAAAGCGCGTCCGAGCGCTCTCGATTCTGGGAACGATTGCGGAAAACGATAAGAAGAGCGGCGTAAAAATAAAAGAGAAATTTCGTGTTTCGTCAAATCCCGCTGTTAGGATCGATACCTGAATAATCCCGCTCGAACGTAATTTCGTATACGATGCGAATCCGATTTAATATCGAATAGCAGCTCTTCGCTTACAAGTGCGAAGTGTATAATCGGATATCGTCTCCATAGTTACTATGATCCATAAATACATTTTTCTTTCCGCCGCGATTCTTTTTCACACATAGATTAGGATGATTCGCAATGTTCCGTCTTCTTAATTATACAATTCAGAATAGTTGAGTATTAGAAACTTTTTCATGAATTCGTCGGTATTGTGCATGAATTAAACTGATCGAATTAAATTACGAAACAACTCGAAGTAGATTTTGAGAAAAATTAAGAATATAAATAATGATAGTTTCTTTTATTGAACTATCCCGGAAGTTATTTAATTATTAATTTGTAGTGACTTCTTAGTTAAAGTCATGTAAATGAAAAATTTCCAAAAATCTGCTGTCGCCTCATCAATTAAAGCCACAATGGCAGATCCCATAGCTTGGGTTTTTGAAATTTCGAAAAATTCTTTGCATACCGATTCGCAAGACAGCAGCAAAACGCAGGCGATTCTGCGATAAAAAATTGAGACGAATAAATGCATTTCGTTCTCATTGCGTCGAATTGGGACCAAGGACGATATTGTTTTCCACGAGCTCCGGGTGCGCGTCGGGCTCGGCGTACGCGGCGCCCAATCGTACTTCCGCTTTATATCGAGTGCTATTTTGGATGATTTATCGACGAGACGCTTTCGTCGCTGCTAGCTCGATATCGGCTCTTCCTCCCTTTTTTATGTCCTCCCTACCGAACGCACCGAGAGCGTCGCTCTCGATCACCGGCAGCGTTTATCCTCGCTGCGCAGCCTTCGCCACGCTCGCCTCTCCTCTCGCGTCGCCACCTCTTCCTCCTCTTTCTCTCACTCTATATCGTCACTCTATATCTCCGAGTGACAAGCCCTTGTCGCTTCCTCTCTTCAACCCCCTCGGCCGGGATCGGTCGACTGCACATTTCGACGTTCGGCCGGTTTTAAAAGAGTGAGAAGAGGAAGGAAAAAGCGAGAAAAGAAGAGAACGAGAGCGCGAGAACAGAAGGGAACGACAAATTCGCGAAGGGAAAGCGACGTAAAGCTGTATGATCGATAACCAACCCCTTTCGTTTTATTTGTTTTGCAGATGCTACCGTGCCGGTGGGCCTTTGTCTGCTGATCGAGAAGGGATTGTCTGTGGTGAGTGAATTTTTCTTCCAAATATTTTGGTATACATATGTATAAGGGTCGTGCGAGCGGAAAGTGAGCAAATCCAATATCCGGGTAATCGACTGAACGATAGTCGCGCGATACCGCAGCTCGTTCGACAAGGGAGGCGTTACATTGTAATTTATCGCCCCTAATAGCGTCGACGCTTTTGCATTGTATCGATTGGAAATAAAAAAATCGACGAGGTTGCATCAGTAACAGCTTTGTGAAATTTCGCGTGTGATTAATTTATTTATTCTCGTTACGTAGTCGATGAGATAAGCGCTGTAATCACTCGCAGAGTTTTTAATCTACCCTGATGTCGTGTTTTATTCAAAGTTACGAACGCGTATCTTAAATGCTGATTACAAATGATCACGGAGGGAAAGGATATTAAAAAACAAAACGTTGTACCTAAGAGAAAATATTACCTGTCCCGATATCATATTTATTATTAATATAAATCCGATTGTATAATTAAAAAACACTTGTTTAAATATCTCTAAAAATTTCTGTATATATGCCTTTTTAAAAATACATGCTAGTTACACGCTAGTTACACGAAGTGTAGCGAGTTATACGCTAGTTACACGAATCAGTTTTGTTTAACATAAATTCATGAAATCAGACTTGAATAATAAGCAGGCAATTGCAGTCTGTTAAATTCGTTGGCGTTCTTCGAAAATAAACGCGTTCGAGTTTCGCTATATGAAATCCTAGATAATCAAAAGCGAGAGAGGGGGGGGGGGAGAGAGAGAGAGAGAGAGAGAGAGAGAGAGAGAGAGAGAGAATTCTTGACTGGAAGAGAAGTTATCTGCGCTCTTTCGCTTCTTGCAGTATCCACGGTGAGCGTCGAAGAGCGACCAAAAATAAAGGGAAAGACAAAGTCAAAGAGAAATAAACACGAGGGACTGAGAGATACATTGCGCGCTTTTCACCTCCGAATGGCTATCTCTTTTTCTTTTTTTTTATACAGGAACGGAGAACTAAATAATAATGATATGGGGAACTCGCGACAAGTAACTTTCTACAACTTCCAGAGAAAAGTGCTGGAACACTATCAGGGGAGACATTTATTGCATTTTACCCTTCCTCGAGCTCTCGCTCGGTGAACTGTCGATGAACTGTCGAGTCCACCTCTGTGAAATATTCTGAAACATTGCTGTCCGCGGCAATAAGAAAAGTATATTTTGTTTTACGAACTATTCTAATCTGCCACGATGAAGAATATATTTGTCGCATTATGTCCATACGTTTTATCGTAAAATATTGAAAACTCTACTTTTTTATCAGCTTGGACGCTCTTTCACGAAGGTTACATAATACCATAATTCATTATTGATAAATTGCATCGATAAAAATATGGTGTAAAACTAGCTTGTTCGAGACATAATAAAATTCTGCGTCGCAATTTTTCTCATTAAAGATGAGACCTTGACGACGCCCTTCTACGATTAATTACATCATCGAGCATCGCGTTCCGACACGGACGTTTTTTTACTATCCCTTTGGTTGGACGATTATGTCTTAGAATACTGCTGCAGTCAGTGTAGCACAGATTATTGGTCGTAGCTTGACTGAAGTTTGCGGACGAATCAATTCCATCGATTTGACGATCCCTCGGCCGACAGATAAGCGCGGCGATATTTTTCCCGGTGTCGACGGCGAAAGTCGACGGTGCCATACATAGTGTTTTATCTGCACCGATAATACCGGCAGGGGTTTTAACATCGAATCTCTCGCACACTGCTCCCTTATCGCCATGTCGTAAAGGTGATCGCCGGCCGTAGAAACGGGTCCGATTATCGTCGCAGCGTGAAGTCGTCGAATCGATTCCGGCCATCACGCGAATTAACAACGAGCCGTCCCCGTTGTGTAATCATTACGCATTCCCTTACTGGTCCGTCATAAACGCTAAACCACGTAATGCGCTACCTAATTACGTCGCATGGCTAATGGTAATCCCGCGACAATCGAATGTGAGTGGAAAAGTTGCCGCAAATTAAAGTAATACGTGGATGGTGGCGTAAATTTGCGATTGTTGGTTTTTTTTTCGCGTTATGAAACAAATCAGCAAGATAACAACATCGAAAACGGCAGGCTGTCAAGCTGTTGGGAATAATTAATTTTGGCAAGGACGCGTATCAATTCGTATTCGCATTAGTATTCTCTCATATGTGGAGTGCGACAATATATAAATGCTATCGTGAATACGCAATTACTTAACGTGATGTATAATCGACTCGATACAATTCACAATGTCCGCCCGAGCGTCGAACTCGATTTGCCGATCTCCTTTTCTGAAACCCATTGACATACAAATGCTGCCGATATTGCGTGCCCCCGCCAGCGCACGCAATAATTACCACTCACTGATTAATCGTCGGCCGCTAATCGACTAATAATTCGGCTAATGACGAACGCATAATTACAACGTTGTATGTATAATTCGGCCAGCGCGAGGCGCGCAGCCCCGTATGAATAATATATAGCAAATTAATACTCAGAACTAACATATCGCGCGCAGATAACTTATGCTCCCGTTTTCGCGTGTATTTTACCCGGCCATTTACATGATCGCGCTTATTCGAATGAAATTGTCGAGTTTTATTATGCGACCCGCACGCGCAATTCGTATCGTTTAATAATTTAAACGCGCAGCTATCGTACAGCATGGAAAACTTATCGGCTATATTCGTTTGCGAGCTGCATTTTTTAACCGCCACGTCAACCGCGACAATGATATGCTGCGCGTTAGGAGTAGAAGGTACGATGACGACTTTCACGATAAATGTATCCATTTTCGGAACATAATGTCTGGGCTTTACTTAGCATTTGTGCTTTGCACTTGCACAGAAAAAAAGTGTCAAATTTATTCTTTATATGCACTAAAATTGACGCGTTATTGCTTTGTATGTACGCAACAATCTATAATCTTCTTCGAAGCATTTAATAATCTGACATTCCAACAATATTACAGTCTTATTTGAATACTGTAATTGTCACTTCAAGAATACACATAATTATTTTGACGATAAATATTTTCTATCCAATATTGTTTCCTTTCCACGTTCAAGAAAATTATTCTTAAATAATAAGTATACATTTTTCTTGATTGGATTATATAAAATTGCTTCATTCAAGTAAGTTTTTCTTCCTTCGCCGCAATATAATCCCATGTCGAGATTTTCACGCTGAAACTAAACATATTTTCAAAAGAAGAATATTTTCCTTTCCTGTGCAGCTTTAGTACAGATAACGTGAATAAATATTTTAAATGACTATGATTATGTTTCGTTATAAATTTAACCAAATAACGTTAGAACAATGTGAACTTGAAAATGTATCTCAACAATTTATATATTGTTGAAAACAATACGTATTAATAAATTCTTGTCATTAATTAAAAATTTTACCCGCGCGATATTGGACGTGGATCAAAGGAATACAAGAATTGTGTTAATTTCATTGTATTTATACGAAAACGTACAATATCGTACAATAAATTTTTAAGCGTTCAGTACGCGCCTATTTCCGTATCAAATTTATGGTATTCTTTTGTGCGGCATAATTGGGTCAAGCGCTCGGTAAATATTTGACCGGAAAACGTGCTTTCTGTTTTCCATGTTTTCGTTCGGATGCTGGATGATCTCTCACGAGTGGATTTTAATTTTCAACCGCGTGATACTGTTTACCCGTTTACATATCCTTCTAGTTTTATTATTTTGGATATGTGTACCTTATGTATTTTTCGTTTCTTTTTTGTTAAAATTTTAATTTTTAAAGTTTTCAAAGCTGCATTTTAAATAATTAACAAAGTTGCGACTCACATATTAAGACCAATTCTAATATTGCACATCGCGGATCTTTTTAATCCTCGCCTTTTCTAACAAGCTCATTAATTACTACGGGATTCGACAGACAATACGCTTCCGACGCAGGAATTTCTTTCTAACGGTCTTCCGAGGATCTCCCGTGCATTCTTCACCGTCTGAGTTCCGAAGAAACTGTAAAACTGCATTCTTTATGAAATGTACCCTTAGTCTTTAAGGGTAATTACTTGAGATACAAAACTTCGCGAAGTGCGAGAGTGTAAAACGAGGAGCTTTTTTTACAACCGGGTCTGCAGTGCGCGATGCGGAAGCGAAATATTTTCCGGACGGGCGAGTGTTTCTCACCACGAGCGTCGGCGTTTTGTTTCCGCGCCATAATAACTTGCCGGTGATAAATCACGCTCACGCGATACTTTGTCAAACGGGTCCGACAGCGCGTTTAAATAATTAACCTTTTGTCCCGGACGGGTGTGTAATTTTTTATTGAATCCTATAACAGCGGCCAACTGCGCTATCGTACGAGTGAAATACCGCGATTCAATATTGTGAGCGCTGTGACGACTGTGATTTATATCCTCCTTTGTAGCGCACTTTGTTCTGATAATTAATCTCGCGTAGTAATCTCACGTTTTACGTATTCGTAGTAATTTTATTCAGGCATGCTCTTTATAATTTTGCCCTTTGCTAAAGTGGCTAAAGTCTTTTTAGACGCCGCATAGAATAGAGCGGGGCTATTTCGCTCAGTTGAAAAAAGATTCGGATAAAAGATTTTCAAGATATAGAGGGGCTTTTCAATTTTCAAGTCAGAGAGAGGCTTTTTGTATCATGGCTTTGTGTTTCGAAAACTTTTTATCCAATTTTTCTTTAACTGAGCGAAATAGCTCCGTTCTACTTTTCGTTTTGTATACTGGATTTGCCACAGCGCATGACTGTGATTTCAATGACATATTCTTGAGCAAAAAATAAAACGAAGGTTGTAAGACAGGACTGTCGGGATTGTGATACTGTTTAAATAGAAATTTACAGCAGACGAGTCAGATAAAGATTGCACGTTCAGGAACAGTACATCGCACGGTGGTAAAGATGTTCTTGCACCCCTGCTGACTTCTTATAAGATGGAAGTAACTATGTGTACAGTAATGTTGATGTCATTAGTTGAGTCATATTTAAACATAAGTACATTGCACTGTATACTGATAATCAAAATCACGTAAAAATATTACGATCTATGATATTAAAAGTAATAATTATAACAAGCTTGATACCCATAAAATGTCACGGATAACTTTAAGAGCAAAATCACCCTTATTACTGTTCGATATATCATTTCTAAGCGCGCACACATAGAAAAAATTTCCAGGTCCGATATTATAATATTACACTTCCATATATCAGAAAATATGATTGATGTAGTGCCAATCAGATTTCTTATAGGGAAGGAATATTTTAATCTTAAATGAAAAATTCTAAAATCTAGAATAAAATGATAGTATGTATTCGTCTTTTGTCGAATATCGTGGTTCCAACTTCGTGCGTTGTAAGATGGAGGGAAAATTTATTCTAAACGCAAGAATATATAAACTGATATATGTAAGTTACTCTTGTCTCAATATAGTAAGTCAATCTTTTTTAATTCGATAGAGGAGAATAAGATTTATTGATTTTATTATACTAATAAGGTTGTGAGAGAAATATAAATGCATGAGGAATATTTTTTATCTCAGTAACGGAAATCCTTTCTGAGGGAGCGTGAACTTTAGACTACTTGATTCGTCTATTTTAAACACTTCCCATTTGAAATGTATCGCAGTCTCGATACTTTCGTCTTTTTCCTTTCATTTCTTTAGTCAGGAATATATCATTAAAATTATAGTTACGAGTGTGGAACACCCTGTATATGTAATACTGAATCGAAAAGTAATCTTAAATAGAAATACATTTTCATACGTTAATTTATGACACTTCGTGACGCAAATGAATATTCAATTTTTACAAAGAATCAAGAATTTATTATACAAGATTTCGTTTTACGTGTACGATTATGGAAATCTAATGCATTGTTAATAATTAAAAATGTAATAACTGAATTCCATTGGTCTATTATTGTATTAAAATACACGAGTTTAAATTATTGTTACTGTTGCAACATTTACGTTCTTTAGTAAACTTCATCATAGAAGGGATTACATCCCGCTGCTGATATGTTTTCAACTGAGCATATTGAAAACTCAAACAGAGAAAAATGATTGTATACTTAATGAAATACAACATTATTAATGTATATCAGCGCCAAGTTTATAACCATAATAATTTTCCGCTATCTTTGCACGCTTTCATAACATTTGCACGTTTCTCATAGGATTAAACTGTTTACACGGATACTTATTAAATGAATAATCTTTCGCAGTTGTATACGATGTGTTCCATAACCACTGTGCAATAATTTAATAGTTTGTTTTAGGGATTAACACGAACATTCTAGTACTAAAATATCTAGATCGTAATTCTCTCTCTCTCTCTCTCTCTCTTCAACCTCCCTCTCTACGGTTTTTTGCATATCACTATAAATGCCCTGACACTTACAATTTTAAAAGAAGCTACATATAACACTAGATTCTCTGCAAAACATCAATTGGATTTTATGTCATTTAAGTTACTTTAACTGAGAGAGAGAAAGTTACTTATCGCTGACAGGCGACCACAGCTTATAAACAATTATAAAAATGAGGACAAAATCGACACGTTATAAGAATAGGTTGTTACGATTACGAATAATTAATACTTACTAGTCAGGTTTTTAAACTGGGTGAAATTCGTTACATCACTGAACGGCTTCCTACTTTTCGTATTTCTTTGAATATGTGAGTGCCTAACGTTTTGCATATGTTAAATTTCTTGTTCTTGTATTACGTAAAGAGTTTGTATTTGTAAAGAAAGTGCTCGTACCGAATTTACTCTCAAAATACCGTCCATCATTTCAGCTCCTTCGCCGTTATTTCGTCTCGGCGATACTGTGTGCTACGCACTGTGTGCAAGCCACTTCCTGTTGTAACTTGTATCTCTTTATTTTCTGTCGCAGGATATCATAGCTCACGGCACGGGAATGGTGTTCCACGTCATAAACCTCGTTGTGATGGTACTGATGCCGATGGTGGTCATCCACGTGAAGGATTCCGGATTCAGCTTGGGTAAGCGCCATTTTACGTATCGTTTCACTTGCGAATTTCGTATTACGCTCGCGTCCACACGATATTACTTACGCGATTACTTACGTACCGCGGTCGGGATTCGATTGGAATAATTTGCGTAAGTAAATGTGCTCTCGAAATATCTGCGTCGCAATCGGAATAATCGTCGCTGTACACGCGGAGAGCTGTAAATTTACGCAGTCGCTTACCGTGACTCTCGAAACCGTTTTACCGCGTATTCCCGAGCCTCTCGCTTATCGCGCGAACTCGTTTTTTCTCCCTGACATACAATTAACCCGGTTGAACACGCCACGTTTCTTGTAGCGTACGCACACCATTTGTGCGTCCACGAATATACACGGAATCATCATTCATAAAAGCGCTAACACGAACAAGGTCTTATGCAACAGAGCGTATAGATTTCGTCGAATAGAGTGCTTTTTTTTTTAATTACATGGAATGTCACGACTTGCTGAAACAACGTAATACCAGTCTCATTACTTTTGATAGGTGATAAGTAGATTTTTATTGCGCGCAAAGCCAAGATATATATCGCATCGATTTATAAAATAATTTATTTTTAATTGCCTGTCATATCGGTGTTCATTATGGCGTGCCACATTTATTCTCGGAGGAGAGATCTATCAAAAATTCTATTTAAATGCAATATGTATGGTCATCCGCGCGGATCGATGCACCGGGGAGCGCCGCGGAGGGTCGCAGAGTTCATATGCAAATGCAATTACTTGGTGCTCTCTTTTATCTACAACTTGATGAGTGCTCGAACCATTCGTCTCGCGTTGGCCTATCAAGACAAACGGCTGTATTAGACATTTTAATTCTCATCTTTTAATTCTTCAACTGAAAGCGCGAACTATCGAATTGCGTGTAATCTCATTACGGCGCCCATCAATTAAATCAGAGATCTAATCGCAACCTTATTCTTTTTCCTTGGATTGCGTGTCATAGCGTCTTTTTGTTCGAAGAAAAGTAATTAAAACGTAACTACGTTTGCGAGCGCCGAAGCGGCGCTCTTGTCTAATTAAAAGAATTTAAATTAATTCTTATGGTGCAGACGCACTCCGTAGGCGACCGATCGATTCGATAGGTGTATTGTCGCGCGCGGCGATCTAATTTAGTTTTTCATTCCGAATGACGAATAATCGCGAGGAAAAAGTCGGAACTTTATGGAAAATCGTCTGGACTTTAATTAAAAGATCTTTAATCGCAGTCGGCGGGAGGCGCTGAGCATAATAAGCCAGTGTTCTTCCGGTAATCCCATCCGGCATTGCATTTTTTAATATTCCCCGTCATTTACATATTTGACACAAAAGTACAGGATAAATCCACGTAAATGATTTCGTCGATTTCGCGAGTCAAATAAATCGACGCGCTTTTCTGCCAGTATCTCTTAGAACGCTCGAGAGAAAGGGTCGCATTGCCAACTCTGTACTGTTACCAAGAAGTATTTCCGTCATTCGTCTTTTACGATGCTTCATTTCGGTAAAGTTGGGGAAGCTTTTTGATTCTGTCGTGATATTCGGCCGTCAGTCGTCTCCGATGTGGTCGACGGCAGAAAAGATTTGCCGATTGATTGCAGTTTGGATAAAACAGAAAAACGCGAGCTCGCGGAGAATAGAATTGTCAGACCAGACCTCGGGGCATTGACAAAGAAAGATCCTTTAGCTTTACGGAAGATATATTCGTCTTGTAGTACAGTCGACTGTATACGTGCGCGGCCCCAATAGGTGCTCTGCTTCAGCTTTTAATAGATTACCGAGTAGCGAGATCTTTGCAGGCATGCACGAAGAGGAAACGAACGGAAATTAGAAACGGAGATCTTTCTTCTTTTAAATTGCGAAGAAATAATTTCTCTCTTTATTGTTAATCTTATTACTAAAATTTCTAATAGCGCAAGGGGTGGACAAGTTCCTATAATTGTTATCACACATGAATATTCACGAGAACATTAAGATATTAAATTGCGAACGATTTGAAGTTTGCGATCGAAAGTTTTCTTTGCCATTCTTTGCGGTCGCGATTTCACACCAGAGAACTCCCAGATTGAACGGTAATGGATGACAATGAAACTTCAAAGTTGGATCGAAGCTTTTGAACTTTGACAGGGGAACATATGACCTCCTATCATCGGGGATGCAGTGTAGTCGAAGGTGAAGGATCGTCATGCTTCAAACTCCGCGAGATTTACTTCACTACTACGAAACTGGAAGTGTTACCGTTCTTGCGGATATTGGAACATTGGAAAACTCGTTATCCGAATAACTGTATAGTTATAAGTTGGGTTTTATAAATTGATTACGAGGTATAACAACTATATACATCACGTTTATTTTTCATCAAAAGATAACAATATAAGAGGCTAAAGAATACATAAGAAAAATTAATCGTGTCTTATTGAGTAACTACAAAAAGGTATTAGGGGAAAAGGTATAAACCTTAATTAAAACTGTTGTCTTAATTGAAACGAATTTGCGTTACATACTTGCATACGAGTAAAATAAATATATAAAACATAGCAAAGAGGGGGAAATTGTGAGAGGGGGAGAGGAGATGGGAAATGAGAGGACATTAGCGTTTTGTCAGGCACACACAGTAGAACGTAATATTTAAAAGAAAAGCAGTTCTCGGCAGAAATTTAAGAATCTTTGACGGGCGTCCAAGAAATCCTTAAGAGCCTTATTCTCCTTTTTTATTTTCGTCCGTAAATCGTCGGGAACGGGTATCCCGGGAGAATCCTCGTTGGCGTGAATGCATCTTTACATCCCGGCTTGCGTAAAGACATCGAGATCCCGATGTCTACGTGAGTGAATACACTTTTGAGTGCACGCTCTCGTATACGTCGCCTCGCACGTTGAAGGGTCGGGCATCTCGGGCAAAGGAGCGACAGAGGAGTACTACCGGCGGCGCGAAGAGAGAGAGGGGAGAGCGAGAGGAAGAGAGAGAGAGAGAGAGAGAGAGAGGGAGAGAGAGAGAGAGAGAGAGAGAGAGACTTCCTATGAAAGAGCCCGGGTCGTCCAGACGCTTGAACCAAAGCCACTGCACTCACGGCTCTCGCAAAGCGCACTCGGCTACGACGAACGGGAAGTTTTAAGAAGCGCTTAGGCAGTCCAAACTCGTGCGAATCTTTGCCTTTCGCGCCGCTACGGCTTCCAGCTTCCTCCTACGCTCTCACGTCGTCCATATAAAAAGATTTAGTTGCGGTAAATTTTTCTTAAGCGCCGACTTACACACCGTTCCCTCCGCGTCGAAGTACCCGTCTAATTGATCCTGTTTCGTAACGTATTTACCATCGCTGATTACCGCCGTATCGTAGTCGTCCGCGATCCTTTGCATAACAATGACGTGTCAATCATTGTTATTAGAATTCCATTTCAGCGAAAGAGTTAATCCTCCTGCGTTCAGCAAGTTATCGATAATTAGTTTTTAAAAGAATTATTTAATTTTCTTGACTCTGCCTGTCTGTCCTATCGAAATTGTATCGTTTCGCGTATGCACCTCGACAATCGTCGCTGCCACGTCCCCACGATAATTGTTTTTTTTTTTTCAAAATGCGAGCGTCGAACGATTTAATTCTCCCGGTCGGGTTCCTCGTTTGGTCGAACGACGGGGTTAAAACACGCAAAAAACTACAGCGAGGGAGGGAGTGGAGGGGTCGTAGCGCGACACGTAGCACATTGCCGTCGACCGCCGTAATCACGATGGTCGATGCGAAAGCATCGTCAACTATCGGACGTCGAATTTCACTCATTCGGAAGTGCTCCTACACCGACGGACGAGCGTGCCGTGTTTTTTTTTCCTGTTGATACTGCGAAACGTGACACCCCCGATAGAAGCGCGACATCGACGTCCTATGGCCTTTCGACTGACGATCTTTCTCGCTCCTACGCTCTGCTTGTACGCGCCTCGTTGTCGCTCTCGCAATCGCGCACTCGTCCATCCGCACTTTCCCATGCAGCAGATAGCCGCAAACGCAGTAAAAGGCGTCGAGTGTTTGCCGCACAGTTAAGTACCATATTGTCCTATAGAGAGGGTTCTCACCTTTGGTTCGACGATTGGGCGCACGTGTCGGCGCAAAACACAATCGCGTGACGGTCCATCGAGAACCCCATTCACCGAAAATGAAAGATCGTATAGCAGCAATTGTCAATAGCGATTGGACGAATCCTATTGAGTTTGCCAAAGATTTTCATGGTTAATGCGTATTTGTTTTACTGTTTTAGTACACACACACACACACACACACACACACACACACATACACCGCCAATGCTTTTATTTAGGACGTTAAATGCGCGGGGTTTCTCGTCGGGGAGATTAGTTCAGTAGAAAAATCGCTTATTAGTCAGACACGGAGGAAAACTCTATCGTATCGATCTCTGATTAGTCTCTCGTCGTTCTTGGCGTATAAAACGAGCAATCGCGCTTTGCTTTACACATCTGTTGCTAAACATCCAACAAAATTATTATTAAATTGACTTAAAAGTGGCTTTCCAAAGTTGGCTTGATGAAAACGAGAAACTCGCGCTTGCATGTTGCACTTAATATTCCACCGTCAAAATAGAATATATTTTAATTGAATTTTGAGTATATTTCAGTTAAGAATTTTCTCCTATCCGCTTTTTGCTCTGACGTTAATTTATGCTATTTTAGCTCAGATCCCTGCCTAAATTACAAATGGCGCAATTATGTGGCATTTAACATCTAAATTTTCTATTTCACGTTGCACTCGCGATAACTATTATACGTCCTTGGCTTTCGTTATAATTTTAAGTGCGATTTTCCCCGAGTTTGGGATATTTGCTTTTCCCGGCTTTCGTCCGTCAACGACTATCTGGCTCAGTGCAATAATCTCTGTACACCCAGCGCGAGCGTGAATCTAGTCACTCGAAATTACCGGCCCGCCCTCGCGGTATTTGCAAATTCTTGCTGCACACTCTTCGCGGCTGGCTGTCACGAGCAAGCGGACATACTCGAGCGCA